TCTAGACGTTCACCCAGACAGACGGACGGACGGACAGACGGACATGTCTAGATCGATTTCTTTCGTCATTCTGATTGATAATATATATACTTCATGGTGTCGGAGATGCTTTCTTTTGCATGTTACATACTTTGCACAAACCTAATATACCCTTTTTACCCTACGGGTACAGGGTATAAGAAAAAAGGGTACAGGGTATAGCTCAAATAGACTTTTCACAAGCTTCAGAAAGAACTACATTGGACTTATCTTGATTCTCGTAAATATACCTGTTTCGTCACCCAGAGTAGACAACATGAATTTTATTACATACCATTTGGGATTACTAACACCCTTCCGGTGTTTATGAGGTACATATTTGCTGTTTTAAGACCATTGATAGACGACGGTACATTGATCCTATATATGGATGATGTAATTCCATCAAAAGATGATCAAGGACTACCCGGAAAGTTATAAAAGGCGTGGCATCGCGTAAAGATTAAATTCGGATAAAATGCAAAAAATATCAGGTGTTAGGTTAGGTTGCGATGGCTGGTGTTATGTTCACTTAGGCCAAAAGAGGCCCGTTGTGATGCCATATGTGGCCGAGACAATTATTAAATGCGCGTTGTTTCTGCTTTGCAATCTTATTTTATTCTGTATACTAGGTTAGCGCGCGAGCTGAAAAATGTAACAGAAAGAAGGAGGCGTGGCAGACTCCACAATGTATATATATTCTTCATCAGCATGACAAAAAGAATCGATCTAGCCCTATCTGTCTGTCCGTCTGTCCGTCCGTCCGTCCGTACGAACACCTGGATCACAGAGACTATAAGAGGAGGTAGAGACACCAAACTTTGCACAAAGATGCGTTATGTGTGTACGCTGTGCAAGTTTGTTTTATTTTTTTGATTTTTCCCCCACTTCCCCCTATGGGGGCTTTCCCGATTTTCTATTCGTATAATCGCCTATATCTCGGAGACTATAAGACCTAGGGACTCCAAATTTAAGTCCCAGATGCCCCGCAAATCGCAATTTTCTCTAACCCCCCTAATTCTTGGAATTTCGAACGCAAATTTTGCAAATGCCTTCAGTTAGTTATTATGTGTCCGTATGCCAAGTTTCATTATGATAGACCGATTTAACAAGAAGTTATAGCCATAAATATATTTGCTGCTCCAGAGCTGCTCAAGCGCTGCCCGCGGCTATTGTTGATGCTGCTGTTTGGTTGACTGCTAACATGTTTACACAGACACGAATATACGAGCATATACATACATACACTCACATAGACACAATTGCTTTGTATATGTGCAATTATACGTGAGTTCGAATAACAAAAGAGGTAAAATCGATCCAAAATTTTTTTTGTAATTCTCTTACTTGTTTAATTTCAATAATTAGTCTAAACATATGTACAGAGTATTTCAAAGTCGGGACACCCCACTTTAGCTTTTTTACTTGTTTTAATTTCTATAATTATTCTAAACATATGTACAGAGTATTTCAAAGTCGGGGCACCCGACTTTAGCTTTTTTACTTGTTTTCTATTACACATAAAGTTTTTAACATAGTTGAAAATTTGTGTAATTATTTTCCATTCTATTAGTTGTTGAAGCACTGTGTGGATTCCTATTTTATCGAAAGCCTTGACAAAATCTAAAGATATTATAGAAATGTGACGTTTTTATAGCCTGTACCCAAAGGGTAAAAAACTATACTAGTTTTGTGCGAATGAATGTAACACACAGAAGGAGGCGTGGCAGACCCCACAAAGTATATATATTATTGATCAGGGTGACAAGCCGAGTCGATATAGCCATGTCCGTGTGTCCGTCCGTCCGTCTGTATGAACGAAAGGATCTCAGCAAGTACAAGAGCTAGAATAACCAAACTTGGCATCCAGATTCTCCAAGTCCGAGAACGTACGAATTTGTGTATTTATACTCTGTACATGAAATGTACAAGAGTACAAGAAGTGTTCCAAAAAAAACATGACTTTTTGAATCTAGCGCTTCCTGGTGGCGCTATCCATATGTCGACTGGTGCGTTAGAATCTGCTATCTTTATCGATTGTCCAGTGAGAATTTCATGGCATTTCATAGATTGGAAGTGAAGTTATTGCGTTTTAAGTGTCAGTATGTTTGTGTTATCGGTGCGAAAATGAGCTTCGAACAAAGAGCCAACATTAAATTTTGTTTTAAAATTGGTAAAACTTTTACCGAAACGTTTCAATTGATGGAACAAGCTTATGGCGATGATTGCCTATCCCGTAGCAGAGTACACGAGTGGTTTCAACGTTTTCAAAGTGGTCGTGAGGACATAAATGACGATCAACATGTGGGCCAATCAAAATTTGTGATCACCGAAAATTCCATCGAAACTGTGTGTGAATTCATCAAAAATCAGCCGAAATATCATTGAAATTGATGGAAATGGAATTGAACATCTCCAAAACATCGATTTATCGCATTTTGACCGAACATTTGGGCTTACGAAAGGTGTGTGCACGGTTTGTTCCGCACAAATTGACTGACGACCAAAAATTGCTCAGAATCGTCTCATCGATCGACGCTTGTGACCGATTATTTGACCAAAAATCACATTTTAACCATTAACCACTCGCCGTATTCACCTGATATGGCACCGTGCGACTTCTACCTTTTCGGAAAAATGTATTTGCCCATGAAAGGAAAGCGTTATGGAGACGTAGAGGCCATTCAAAAGGCTTGCACCGGCATACTGGCGGCCATACCGGCCAACGAGCTAAAACACTCGTTCGACAAGCTTTTGGATCGTGCAAAAAGCTGTATTGAAGCAGAAGGAGACTATTTTGAATAAAATAAATTGATTTTGCCGAAAAACCATTTGTTCTGTGATTTTTTAAAGTCCTCTTTACTTAGGAAAACACCTTGTATATACATCACGAGTACGTTTTAATAGTAATTCTAGTGCGCAGATACGGTCGCGTGGTAGGTTGCATGGGATGCGGCTTCGGCCGTGCTGCACATGCAGAAATAATGATATGGGTTGATCTTTGGCACGGGTTGCATGACACTTTGATCCAGCACCCACCTCGTAGCCATGATTAAGGACCATAGAACCAGTCAACTTTACTGATTCATTATCCCTGTTGGACACCGTCAACAGAACTCTCACGGGACCATTGTAGTGCCTTTATCAGTAGGTACCCTCTTGGAGGATTCATCTAGAGGATTTTCGACAACTTTACCATTGCTAATAATATTTTATTATTAGTCCCCATTAATATTATTATCTTTTTCACACTTCTTTACCCACACTACCATGATTTCCCTTTAGCCAGTATTAGTATACATATTTAGATAAAACTTAATTGTAAAAGCGCTCAAATCAAATTTTAATATACGAACTTCATGGGCCTTTAAATTCGAAAATTGATTAAAAATATATAAAGATATCAATAAAAACGATGTGTTAAAGTATAATACATATTAGTTTAGGAAAAAAGAAAAACTAACAACTCCAAATGAATTTTTTCCAATTTAAGTATAAAATAAGTAAAATGCATTTCATTTTATGTTGAACTATGTGTTTGAGCGTTTGGTCACAACGACAACGTTATGTATCACCAGGGTTCGTAAAATGTGCTCGCAACCCACTGCAACCCTTAAGAAATGCTGCCGGGGTTTTTTTCGGGTTGCTGCCGACAGAGGCCGCGGGTCCGATCGGGTCGTACATATGTACATATGTGTTAAATTTGTATGCTGGTATGCTTGTGTGTATATATTTCAAGGCAAAATGTGCGCGATGCATTTCATCCCTTATAGCCTCACTCAGCAGATTTGTCTGCGTTTGCATAGTGGTACCTGATACTAGATTTCTGAATGAATGTCTTTCGATTTTTTTGGCTATAGGAAATAAAAAGATCATTTGCAAATAAATAAACTTGTTACTAAAATATTTTTTACTATTCGAAAGAAATATCGTTTATTAATTCCTCATTTAGTTTCGCTATTAAAATATCGCTTAATACATTTGGACTAAGTCTATTTCTTAATTTAGTAAAATAAGGGGTAACGCGCTAAAAGCCCTCTCCACTGACACCTGAGTTGCTGGCACAGCCAACGCAATTTCCGCTATTTGTGCCAGCTCGGGTTCCCTATATTGAAGAGACTTCCAGTGCAGCAATATATCATCTTCGAGGCATAGTCGTTCACCAAATTGAAGATTGTGAATTTTCAGTTCTGTGGAAGTACGACTAGGTCATAAAATTAATGAAGATTCCTCAAAAATGATGTCATATTTGCTTTCCTTATAGGAGTATATATATATATATATATATATATATATATATATATAAGACGAGCCGATCTAGCCTTGTCTGTCTGCTTGTCCATCTGTCCGTCCGTTCAGGAATCGGGCTCCAAGCTTACAATATCTGCCTTGCTGGGGCCTAGCGCTATTTCGCACGACCAATATTAATAAAGCTGACCTTTAACTTTGTGCGTGTGGATTATTTTTTGTTGTTTTCCCGTGGCCAATAATTCTGCACCAAAATATTTATTTCCCTGCTCATTTATGGGTAGCTAAAATAACATAGCTTACTATAAAACAATAACCTTTGGTGGATGCCTGATATTTACCGAGATTAATTTCATTATATCAATAACTTCACGAGATTCACGGTCTATTTTTCTCGAATGCATTATGTACGTCCGTCACTGATGCTGAATCAAAAGGAAAGAAGAACTACTATTGTACCATCTATCGCTTATAAGCTGTGCACGCTATGATCCTCTCAGAGAGGGATAAAGAGACAGAAACAAACGCGACATCAGCACCTGTCAATTTGACATTTGCACTCTCTTGATGCACCGATAACCCTTAGGTTTAGGTATTGGCTAAATTATTCCTTCTTCACCACACATTCTAGCTATTTACAAAGATTGATATCACACTGTAACACTTTGTTTTTGTTTTGTAATTTACACGTTTACCAATTCTAAAATTCTAAATTTTTCATCTTTTAATTTCAGTGTGATGAATTTCCTGTAAGTGAAAAGGTAGCACTTCAACTAGCTGGATTGCAAGCTCAAGTTTCACTAGGAGATCCCTCAAATCAACCAAAACCGGAGTATTATTGTGACATAAATAGTTTTTTACCTAGTCGAATAGCTAAAACTAGAGAACAACAATTTTGGATTCCTATTTTAGCACAAGCACATCGGCAATATGGATCTTCACGCAATGAGCTAACTGCAAAAATTCTGTACTTAAGCTGTGTAATGCAATACCCACTCTATGGCACAACAATGTTTAATGTCCTCTATAAAGGATTTTGGAGCTTTGTTAATAATATTATTCTTGGAGTTAATTGCGATGGAATTATGTTTGTTCAACCTGAAGACAAGATTATTATATATCAGTTTAAATATACAGATGTAGAATCAATTATGATAGACCCCAGTGACAGTTTTATAACCATTTCACTAAATCGAGTATCTCAGAACATAACAAAACTTTTGGGCGAAGGGAACTCTTCATTTAATACTCAAAAATGCTTTGTATTTGAGACGGTGCAGAAAAATGAAATTGGATCACTAATAATATCTTACTTTCCATCATTATCCAACTGGGTTTTGAATAACTTTGACTACTCAAAAAAAAGTAAAGGAATTACTAATGAGGACAGAACAAGGCTGTACCAAAATGTTGTAATATGCCGGAGGCAACTAATTGATTTAGAAGTTGTACGTAAGCCTCAAGAGTGCGGTGGATTCCTTAGAAACACCTTAAGGCGCCTTTCAAAACATCGAATAGAAAAAATAAGAAAGGAGCAAAGAACAAACCTTCATGATCATGGAGAAACATACAAAGGATTCAATCATACGTTTTGGGCATTTAGTAAACAACAAATACCATACTGCTTAAGCAGGCTTTCGGATCAAGATGAAGCGGTAATGGTCGAAATCTTTTATTCAATTTTAACATTCTCTGGTCTTGGAACAGGTGGTAAGTATTCACTGTAACAATGCATTTATAAATCCTCTATTTTGTAACAACGAAAATTTGTATACTCTGTACATGAAATGTACAGCTTTTGCGGTTATTATATTATATACTAGCAGGTATTGCCCGTCTTAACCCGGCGCAATATGTTTCCAATTGTATTTATTTTGTGTGTGCATAACCTACCCATATGTTTTCACCTTAAAGGTTACCAGTAGGAAGGCATTTAAGGTATTTAAATGAACATTTTCTGTTCTTGACAAAAAATTGTTCAGTAGTCCGTTACATTTTTGTTCTTGACAAACTATTTCGTTAAACGAACATGACCACTATCTCTATATATATAAAACAGTTTGTCCTGACTGAATGACTGACTGACTGATTGGCAATCAACGCACAGCCCAAACGGTAAGAGCTAGGAAGCTGAAATTTGGACACAAGATCCCTCTTATAGTGAAAGTGAGCACTAAGAAGGGGTTTCGGAAAATTCGAGCTCCAAAGGGGGGAAAATGAGCTTCAACGTTTGTATGAAAAATCTACAATTTTTATCCGATTAACTTCAAAGTTAGTTTGTATACTCTCACAAAGAATACAAAAAAAACTGTATACTTGGATTTTCAATATTTTTCCTGCGGCCTGAATAATAATGGTTTTCCGGTGGAAAATTCGGTAAACGAAAAGCTATTTGCAATCAACGCACAGCCCAAACGGTAAGAGCTAGGAGGCTGAAAATTGGACACATGTTGTCTTCAGTGGTGTAGGTGAGCACTAAGAAGCCCAAACGGTAAAAGCTAGGAAACTGAAATTTGGGCTCAAGTATCCTATCATGGTGTAGATGCGCACTAAGGGATTTTGGAAAATTCGAGCTCCAAAGGGGGGAAAAGTAGCTCCAAAGTTTGTTTGAAAATTCTGCATTTCTAAATCGGTAAACTTTAAATTTGGTTTTTATAATCTATAAAAAAATACAAACAAAACTGCATACTCGGTTTTTCGAAATTTGTGTTGGAGCTTGAATTATTGGGGTTTTAATATATATTCATTTTTACAAATGAAAAGTTTGTGTTATAAATTTTGTCCGATCGATTTCAAATTTGGGTAATATAATCTACGTAACTAAAATTACAACTTTGCATTTAACGATTTTTAAAATATGCATTTTACAAAAGCAGGCAGAACAAACAATACAAAATATCAAACAGTTGGGGACAACTAAGTATACATACACACACACACACACATACATACATACAAGCAGCTGTTCGTGTAGTTGCGTGCAAACGGTTGAAGTAGCCAAAGCAAAATGTGAGACGCTAGAAGAAGAAATGTTAATTAGTTAAAAATTATTAACATTATAACATAAACATTTTTATGTTATTTTTTCTTTGTTTAGTACATTTGGCATAAGGGGTTTTTAGGACAACGGACTACAAGGGCGTACGCAGGTTGGGCAGGGGGGACATTGCTCCCCCTAGAAAGAATTTCGCATTATGAATTACACCAGCACCATATGTATTACATACGTACATACATATGTACATACGTCTGTATGTATAGTATGAACATATGTACATCAATAAGTATGTATGTACGTACAAACATTCTTATATACAATGTACATAGGTTTGTATATAGGTTTGTATGTATGCAGTGGGCCATCGAACACTGTTGTTTAATTGTAATAAATAGTGTTCTATGGTTTCAAATCAAAATTTTTAAAACAACAACAACAACAAGTTATTGGCTCGCAAATCTTCTTTCGTTTTGATCATTTACGGCTGTTAATTGCATACGCAAAATGCCAAAAGTTTACAGTTACCGTACACATACAAGTAAATTTGTATGTATGTATGTATGTGTACAGTGAACAATCGAATACAGTATTATAATCAATAACTCTCAAACGATGTTTTTCGATGTATTTGTATTCGACATGTATTACGATATATCAACACAAGTATCGATATTTTATATTTATATCGCATTTAATTTTATTATTGGGGTTTTAATATTTATTCACTTTTTCGAATGGTCAAATGTGTTATAAATTTTGCCCGATCGATTTTAAATTTGGGTAATGTAATCAATATAACTATATCAACAAATTGGCATTCAACGATTAAAATATAGCAATATATTTTTTACTTGCCATATATCACATATCAAATAGTTGGGGACATCACATACACACACTCACACATACATACAACAAGCAACAGTTCGTGTCTATGTGTGCCCATGACAAAAAATTGTTCAGTAGTCCGTTACATTTTTGTTCTTGCCAAACTATTTCGTTAAACGAACATGACCACTATAACTAATATTTTTTAAAGCTCGTGGAGCTAGAATTTGATGGATGATGGATACTATGAAAGGATACTTGAGTCCAAATTTCATCTTTTACCGTTTCGGCTGTGCGTTGATCACCAATTAGTCAGGACAAACTGTTTTATATATAGAGATAACGCAACGTTTTAAGATAGACTATGTGCAAAAAAGGGGAATAATTACAAGGGTATATCCTAATTTTAAATTCACATTTGAGTCTTTTCGTGCCATATTGAGTCAATACGGTCACGCACAAACTCGGAATATGAAACACGGCACTCGTGTCAATGCCGTGCAGCGATGAGCCACGATCAAAAACCACTGGCACCGATACCATCAAAATATCGAAGTTTGAATGCAATAAGCAGAATATTTAAATAACGAAATCGAATTATTTATTGAGATCAATAAGAACAAATCATATACATACATACATACATCTGCCCGCAATGCGAAGCAGAATATGCGTAGCTCCGTTATTCGGTTTCTGCTTTACTATCGCTTACGCAGTCGTTGCCTAGCGACGGTAACTGTAAACTTTTGGCGTTTTGCCTTTGCAATTAACATTAAATGGTCAAAACGAAAGGAGAGCGAGCCAATGACTTGCAGTTGTTGTTGTTTTTAGAGCATTAATTTTTTTACAATCAAACAACTGTGTTCGATTGCCCAATGTATACATTAATACGAATGTACATACATGCTATATTCATACACAGGCATACATACATACTTGTATGCATGTTTCTCTTTACTTTTTCAACCGTACGTAGAGAACCGCACACATAGACACGAACTGTTGCTTGTTGTGTGTGTGAGTGTGTGTATGTGATGTCTCCAACTATTTGATATTTGTTGTTGCTGCATAAAGTTATTAATGAAAACACTAATGCCAAATGCACTAAACAAAGAAAAAATTACTTTTAAAAATGTTATATTATATAATTTTCAATTAATTAACATTTCTTGCTCTGTCAGTGCAAGACGAATGTACATACATACATATGTAGATACATATGTACATACATAGATGTGCACATATGTATGGAGATTCACACATTAGTGTCTCACATTTTGCTTTGGCTATTTCAATCGTTTGCACGCAACTACATGAACAGCTGCTTGCATGTGTGTGTGTGTGTGTGTGTGTATGTATACTTAGTTGTCCCCAACTGTTTGATATTTTGTATTGTTTGTTCTGCCTGCTTTTGTAAAATGCATATTTTGAAAATCCTTGAATGCAAAGTTGTAGATTTAGGTACGTAGATTACATTATCCAAATTTTAAATCGATCGGACTAAATTTATAACACAAACTTTTCATTTGAAATAGTGAATAAATATTAAAACCCCAATAATTCAAGCTCCAACACAAATTTCGAAAATTTTAAGTCGATCGGTTGAAAAATGCGGATTTTCAAACAAAATTTGGAGCTACTTTTCCCCCCTTTGGAGCTCGAATTTTGCAAAGGATACTCGAGCCCAAATTTCAGCATCCTAGCTTTTACCGTTTGGGCTGTGGGCTGTTGACGCGGTTTCCTTTTGTGTCCCAAGAAAACCCCAATAATTCAAGCTCCAACAAAAAATGTAAAAAACCGAGTATGCAGTTTTCTTTGTATTCTTTAATTGAAACTAAGTTTTAAGTCGATCGGTTGAAAAATGCGGATTTTTCAAACAAACTTTGGAGCCTGTTTTCCCCCCTTTGGAGCTCGAGTTTTCCAAAATCACTTCTTAGTGCGCATCTACACCATGATAGGATACTTGAGCTCAATTTCAGCATCCTAGCTTTTACCGTGTGGGCTGTGGGCTGTTGACGCGGTTTGCTTTTGTGCCCCAACATTTTTTTTACAGGAAAACTCCCAAATTTTGGGCCCTAAAAAAAATATAAAAAAAACAAGTATACAGTTTTTCTTGGAATTATTCTGATAGTATACAAACTAAGTTTAAAGTTAATCTGATGAAAACTGTTTTTCATACAAACGTTGGAGCCTGTTTCCCCCCCTTTGGAGCTCGAGTTTTCCAAAATCCCTTCTTAGTGGGGACCTAGACTATGAAAGGATACTTGAGTCCAAATTTCAGCTTCCTAGCCTTTACCGTTTGGGCTGTGCGTTGATCACCAATCAGTCAGTCAGTCAGTCAGGACAAACTGTTTTATATACATATATAGATTATACTTGTGTATTAATTATATATATTCTTGATCACCATTACAAGATGAGTCGATCTAGCCCTTTCTGTGCTTCTGTCCGAGCTACAAGAGCTAGAGACGCTTTGCAAGTGTAATATATATATACACGACTCCACGTGTCGCCACCTCTACCGTATATATATACAAGGAGTGTTCCAAAGTAAACAGGACTTTAAAAAAAAACAGAACAAATGGTTTTTTCCGCAAAATCAATTTATTTTATTCACAATAGTCTCCTTCTGCTTCAATACAGCTTTTTACACGATCCAAAATCATGTCGAACGAGTGTTTTAGCTCGTTGGCCGGTATGGCCGCCAGAATGCCGGTGCAAGCCTTTTGAATGGCCTCTACGTCTCCATAACGCTTTCCTTTCATGGCAAAATGCACTTTTCCAAATAAATAAATCGGTCACAAGCGTCAATCGATGAGACGATTCTGAGCAATTTTTGGTCGTCAGTCAATTTGTGCGGAACAAACCGTGCACACACCTTTCG